CTGCTGTTATCAACAATTAAAATTATATTTTTCAAATCAAATATTTTTCTGAAAAATTGAAACCGGGCGAACCTCGTTGCAAAGAAAAAAATGAAAAAATAAAGGAAAACTTACCCAATAAGCCTCGCTCAGGTAAAAAACCCCGCAGCAGCCACCGTTCAGCATTGATCAGTCTCTCGGACTTGTTTGAAAGGCACTCAGGTTAGCTGATGAGGCCTGGATTGGCCGAAACAGCTGTCCTAACCAGTATAAAGCGGCAGATTACTGTGATTTTGTCAGAAAAGTCGCCCTGGAAATTTCTGCCAAAATCACAGTATGAAGCTGTTAATTAATTCCTGCAAATTTTGTTTACTAAAATTAAATTCTCCCTATTTTATTTTTTATTCATTCCTCCCACTTAATTTTAGTTTGGACACGACAAAACCCTCGGTCCTAAAGTACGCAGGTCGCCTTTAGGGTTAGTTGTTCTTTATTTTTTCATTTTTTCTTTGCAACGAGGTTCGCCCGGTTTCAATTTTTCATGAAATCCACCTCGAGTGTAACCATTCAATTTAATTATTTTTCTCTGACGCTCAAACTTGGCCTACGATGAATACATTTTTCATTGCTTTCGAGTTTTATGATAATTGGCACTCCCTGTGCAGCTGCTGCTCGAAAATTCATGCTATTCAATGTTTGACGTTTGAAAGGAAAAATCAACCAATCAGCTGTTTCTCTAAAACATTATTTAAAGCCAGATAATGTAAATATTTTATAAATAATATTCCATTATTTGGTTACCCAGGTTATCAGTTAACCTTGACTGTACGATATTCTAATTATACAAACAAATTAGAGTAAAAAAATTATATCAACTTGGCCATGAATGTAAAATGAAGAAAAGATGATACAAAATTAATTATTTAACATAATTTTACGCAGCAATATCCTTGCTTTGGGAATTTTCGGAAAGTAAATTTTCAGTAGAAAAGTAAAAACAATGAAATAAATCAATCTGTTCAAGTCTATTGATCGCTGCTTTCCGAAATTTAATAAGCAAAAATTGAATGATTTCGGCAGGCAATGAATTCATTGAGGTCTGTTGCTTTGAGCAGTGCGGCTGCGTCGAATGCCGACCGAATAATCCACTATTATAATTCACTCAACTTTCACCCTTCTAAGGAAACTCCTGATATGAGATCAATATTTTAGATCCCAACCCGCTTTTAACGATTTGCCACTTTTTTTGCGAACCGTCCAAATTCCAAAATAAGAAAAGGTGCAATAAAAATTGATGAGGATGAGAGAGGCGTGTATGTGAGGAGCGAGCAAGTTTTTGGAATTGGATTACTTGCCTGGGCGGAGGAGTCCACGGGGGGTCTCCAGGGGCCGGACGGGGGGCAGGGCCGGGGGCAGTCGAGTCGCGGTGCAGCATCTGGGAGCGTGTCGGCGGCTGCACTGCGGACGAGCGCCGGCGGGTGGGCGGCCGCGGCCGCCCCCAGACACTCTGCCCACGCGGCCTCCCCCACCCCCGACCGCAACACCCGAGACCCCATTCAATCCGATTCAATCCTTTCAACGATTCAGCACTCGAAATAAATAATAATAATTATTCTTAAAAAAATATTAAAATTTGTGACCCAATTTGTAAACCGACACTCAAAAAAATGAATCTCAAATAGACCCGTTTACGGCATGTATGGCTGACCTGGCGTTTTCGGCCGAGTTAAACATGTAAATCAGACTCAATTATGAGCCTCGTAGGTCAATTTGAACAGGGAGAACGACGAAGGGAACGTACCTTTCCGGCGGCGAGTCAGACTGGCCTGCGAGCGGCTTCAGCGGCTCTCCCGAGTCAGTTAAACTCGCTACGCTGCTGCGCCGACTGCAGTGCTCCTTTCTCACGTTGCATTTCGGCCGATTTTTGGCTTTTTCGGGCCGAATTTGGGCTCAATCTTGACCCCGACGAGACACGATGCACTTGGTAAACAAAGAAAGCCATTACTAATCATATTTGGGCGTGTCCGATTGTCATGTGGGAGAAAAGCGAGAACGAGTTTAGCAACCCGACAAAGTTGTCCCGAGGGAATTAATTAATATCTCGCTCTGATTGAAAGTTTTTTAATTTTGGCGATCGAGAAGCTTATATTTCTAGAATAATTAAGGCATGAGTAAAATCGCGGTGTTATTTATTTTTTAATCCGAGCAGCCGTTGTCGCGCTGTGAGCATAAATAAATACGCGCCGGCCTCTGCTTGTCGCTTCGCTCGACTGCTGCACTCGCGGCGGAGAGCGGCGCGCTCGATTCATTAGACGTTTGCGCGAATTTAAAATTTTATTAGTAAGCGTTGAGATAAATCTTTCAAATTTTCAGCATTGGTAGCCAACTAAATGAAATAATTTTTGATTTTTATTTCATAAAAAAATATTTATCTGGAGCAAAGTTATAATTAAGTCTAATTTACATGTTTAACTCGGCCGAAAACGCCAGGTCAGCCATACATGCCGTAAACGGGTCTATTTGAGATTTATTTTTTTGAGTGAATATTTTTAATATAATTAATTCATTATATTTTTTCAAATTGACATATTTAAGTGAACTTGAAAAAAATGGTTATCTTTTGTTTATCAAAATTAGACAATCTATTTTTACCATATTGCTGAAAGTTTTCCGAAATTTTTTAGTAAAAAATTGACACATATTTCTTTGTTTGTTTTTATTTAATTTTTTATTGGAAAATGCGCATCTTCAAATTCCACTTGTTTAGATCGCTAAAAAATTGAGAAACCATGAAATATTTATTCAATTTATTGTTTAAATATTTTCCGCTGCCAAGACGTTATTTCAAAAAGTTTCAAACATCAAATGAAATCATTACAAGCAATTAATTTTAACTTCATTTTTTGACCACTCCTTTAAAAAAAAAAAAAATCAAAATTGTTGCCTTAATACACTTTACATTTCTTCCTTTGCAAATTTGACCTGATTTCTGGGACAATGGATGGAAATATAACAAAAAACCTTCTCAAGTTACAAACCTTTTAAGTTCCATTTTACTCTAGATCGGAATAATGAAATGTATTGAAAGAGTAAATATCACGTAAAACAAAGATAGTGCTTATTTTCCCGAGTTTTGAGAAGCAAGTGATAATTTTACCTTTTTTTCACACAGATGTTTCTTTTTATCGCCCAGGGAAGCACTGAAGAGAGCAGTGCATGAGGCAAGACGCCCTTGAAAGCGTTTGACGTGCATTTAGTCCAATCGTGACAGGCCACATTAATCATCCTTGCGCAACCATCCCTCTGTTGACGCAATTATTATTATTTTTTCCTCTCCGCGCGAAAATTGGAAAATTGAATTTGCAGCTTCTTTATTAAATCACGCGAGCGAGCAAACTGAAATTTGTATCTTAACAATAAGCAGCGAAATTCCTCTTTCTTGATGGAAGGAAATATTTAATGAAAACGACTCTTGCATAAAGTGGAGTAAACAAATCTGTTTTTCCTCCACACAAATTTCTGCTTTTAGTAATTAAATGAACATTTCCTCAAATGAACGCCGCAACAAAATTTAGAGGAGAGATTAAATTGCTACTCGCAGAGGAAAAGAATAAAAGAGATTAAAAAAATTAAGTCATTTCGCCCAAGAGATGAAATCTCAAGAAGAAAAAGTGCAGAGACCGAGTTGAAATAACCGTTTGTTTATTGAAATATAACTTTGTGGAACTTTCAAATGAGAATTATGCAAAATCAACAACAGGTCGTAGCTTAAATTTAATTTTATAACGTTGATAATATAATTTATTTTATTTACACGCATGCCAAACAGAAACAGGTCCAGTTTTTCATCTATTTTATATGTACAATGTCATAATTACTTCAATTAATTAGGTGAGAAGTTCTTTCCTTTCAATCGGGAAATAACATTTGACCGAGTTTTTCATTTTATTAACATTTATATTTTATGTACATTTTTACAGGGAAGAGAAATCAATATAATTTGGGCAGGACAACAAATACATTATTTGAGCACAAAATCACTTCACAAGTTAAAGATTTTCCAAAAAATAAATCCACTCGCAAGGAAAAGACACACGCGCGCTAGGAATTGCCTCGCTTTTAATATTTATCATTATTTTATGCATATTTCGTATTCTGAACAAATGCGCTGCACGGTATAATATTTGTGTTAACTCAGTCAAGATTGCACTATTGCTTGCAAGATTGTTCACCATAGAGATTGGAAAAGTTTCCGCCATGTGGTGCAACAAAATTTTAATTTGAGATTTTTATAATTCATATGCGAATAGCTTAAATCACAATTTTATTAAGGTATTTTTAAAGTCGCTATAAAATAATTCTCTATTATAACAAGGCGTTCTCTTAATTTGCAAATATGACCACAGAGAGAGTAGTTTGAGAAGCGATAAGTTTAGAAAGCGTGCCTTCTACAGATTTTCACAATTGCAATGATACAGTCAGTGCAGCTCTACAGAAGCACAATTAAAATTAAAGGTCCGCACCGGTAATTTTTTAATTCTTCTACTCACGAATGTGAAAGTGGTGGAAAATTTCATTTATCAATTTATTTTACTCAAGCACTATTTTTGACCTGAAATTTGGTGAAATCCACGTTCAAATTAATTTGGCGGGAAAAACAGGCGGAAGTTATTTTTCTTCTTTCACAATTAAATATGCAACAAAATTACAAGCCTAGGGCCTTTAAAAGGAGAAAAGACGAGAGCAGCTTCTGAAAATTTTCTACTAAAAAGTGCGATAGATTTTTTTTAAACACTCACATTTACGCACGTACCTCTACAAATAATCGTTTGCAAGTAGATTGCGGAAAATCGGCGGATAAGATTCTTATATAATTATTCGAGTATTAATAATTTTTTGCCACACAAGATTTCTTTCTTTCTTTCTTCAGCACAAGAGAAAGTTTTGGGGTTGGCGAGTGAATGGATCTGACACGTTTGCGGTTGTTGCGCCACGAACGAAACTTGTGGGGGTGGGGGGGGGGGCGGCGGCGGCTGCACTACCGGGTCGTGGGGGCCGTGGTCCTGCGGAGGGCGAGCGAGGTGGGGCGGCGGGAGGGGGAACTCTGCGGCGAACACGCCCACTCGACGGCCCGGGGCGCGACCCTGGGGGCGGCGGGCCGCTCCTGCGCCCCCGCGGCCCCCTCGGGCTAGGGCTCCTTCGAGCTGAGGAAGGCGGGGTCGACGGCCGCAACCTTGGCCGTCAGGAACGCGTGCATGCAGAACAGCAGCGACTGCAGCGTCGCGCACTCCATCTCCTGCAAAATGTGAAAATAATTAATTCACTGTATTTTCTCATAAAATGGTTTTTTATAAAATTTATCAAAAAATTCCAGTTCTTTTTGGACGGAAAAAATTGGCTTCCCACATTAATTTTGCAGTAAAAGTTGATAATTAAATGGAACTAGATCTCAAAATTTCCAAATCCTCCTCTAAAATTAATAAGGATCATGTTTGTTAACAAGAAATACCATTTTTTGGGAAAAAATTAATTAAATATGCTTGTTATTATGCCAATTTCTCACAAAAATCGTTTGAATAACAATTTAAGTGAATGAAACTGTGATAAGCAGAGGTTTTTGGCCCACCAAAATGATCCCTGAAACCTCTGCTATGGATTTGGCTTAAAAAGTTGGAAGTTACCGCGTAAAATTTTGAGTAAAATTTAAATGAAACGTAAAAAAAATGTTTGTTTTTTTCGCAGTTTTCCAGTGTCTGAGAAAATTAAGCTGATAATTTATGGAGATCTTAAAATTAATTAATGTTGGCAGACAAACATCGTGATAATGGAATTTTGTTTTTGTTCTTTCAACGCTCAAGTTATGAAGCTTTTTCATATGTATTAAATTCCAATATAGATGCTGGAGATAAATTAAGGTTTACTAAAATTGCTACCAAATTAATTTGGGTAAAGATTTCTTAATTTTCTCGATGGGAGGTTCGAGCTAATGAACCAAGGTATCTTTTCTTAATGGGCACCAAATTTCTAGGTCGAAGGTAACTGACGCTGGCAAAAGGTCAAAATTTAAAGTTTTATGCCTCTTTAAATGATCAAAGAAATTTACATTAATTTACCAAAGTTAATAAAATTGGAGCATCTACAGATAAATGGGATTCTTGAAGTCAAAATTTAGGATATTTCATTCGTTTAAAGATAATAACAAAATTAAAAAATTTTTGTATCATAAAAGAAATTAGGCGAGATTACTCGTGTTTCAATGATTCTGGTTTCTGTGAGCTGGAAGTGCAACTTGAGCCTGCACTTGTTGTCGTCCGAGGAGCCTTTGAGCTGCGAGAACTTGTACTTCCAGCTGGCGGCGCCGCTTTCCGCGTCGGCCAGAACAAAGCCGACGTTCCAGTCGAGGGTCAGCACCGCCGGTTTTCCGCCCCACACCACGTTGAACGTTTTGCACTGGACGAAGATTTAGTTTTTTTAATTGAAAATTCAATTGATTTTGTTCGAACCTTGAGTTTGATGACGGCCGAGCAGACGGCGCAGTGCCACGCGGCCTCGATCCGCAACAACTCCTGCCGCGTCTCGACCGACAGGTAGCGCGACTCGTGTCCCGCCGTCTGCAGCAGGAAGCAGTGTTGCCGCTCGTCCACGTTCTCGCTGTCCTTGATCACGCGGAACATGCTCTGGTAGATTTGGAACGTCTGGCAGTTGTCGCCCCAGTTCGTCACGCTCACCTCCAATTTGCAACACAAACAATTCCATATAAAATTTGTATTCAAATTCATTTTTTTTTTTAAAATAAATTCAGATTCTAGTATTTTGTTCATGACTTAATTGTAAGTGGAATTTTACAGTTTCAGTAGAATCTAGATTATAAAAGCAGGGTTAAAGAAATATCGATTATTTCTATTAATTTGTAATAAAAGATCCAAATCTGAATAATATTGATTTGAAACTCTAAATTGCATAATTATCATTATAATTTATCAAAATATTCAGTATAAATAAGTAGAGAACAATAATGAAAATCCTTTTTGGTTCATTGAAATGAAAAAAGCGGTAAATTGGGTATTGATGAAAAGTTGATAAAAAAATGACTTAAAATTTGATCAGAAGTACAAAATTCAATCTCAAAGAAAGCTTTAATCATTTGAGGATTGAAATTTTTTTAAAAGATAACAATTTTGAAAGAAAATCATATCTTACTTGTAGATTTGTCTTCTTTAATAGCATTTAAAACTATTTTCACTGGTATCATTTACAGTTTTTAATATATTTTTTTTAACTTTCAAGAATTGCGATTGAATTACCGGCGGGGTGTCGCTGAGGACGAGGTCGGTGCTGCGCAGGGTGAGGAACTTGGGTCGCCAGCACTGCCAGGGCTGGTTGTTGTTGAGGACGCCCTCGTTGACCCAGCCCATGTACTCGACGCGCTCGGACGAGGCGAGCGTGCGGTTGAACAACTTGACCTGCAGGTTGGTCAGCCCGAAGATGTTGTCCGTCACGTACTTGAGCCACTGCGACAGGATGGCCGCGTCGCCGCACTGCACCACCCCCGTCGACGCGCCGTTCAACCCCCGCACCTCGAACGCATTCGGACGCAACTTGTCCGTCCCGAAAATGTACCTAAAATCATTTTTTTTTTAAATTAATAAAAATATACAAAGTGAAATTATAGTTTTTATTTTATTCTTTCAGTGGATAAATCATTAAAAAGAAGTGAAATTTCATGAAAAAAGTTACCTTGTGACGTAGGCCATGAGGAGGGGGACGGTGACCACGTCGACCCAGCGGCCCGAGGACGTGCTGTCCACTGCCGACGACCTCCTGGACACCGGCGAACTCGCGCGCCAGTCTCCATTTTGCAAATTGTCCAAATTCAGAGACCTGCTGCTGTCCTCCCGAGGAACTGAAATTTTCAATTTTTTATAATTAAAACGACAGACATTAAAATTAAAAAAAAAAAAAAAATTAAATTATTTTTCACTTCCATTGCAAATTAAATGAATTTCTGAATTCGATTTGTTTCCTTAAATGTCAGCCGAGGTAAAGAAAATAATATAAAATTTTTTATATGATTTTTAACGCATGTTTTGACCAAAACATTAAATTGGAATTATTCAGAGTTGAAGTTTTACGGATTTTTAGGATGAAATTGTTTCTTTTTTTCTTTTTGCCCCTAAGTTTATTTAAAAGGTTGGTAAAAATTGACGTTTCATTTTCTTTTAGGCTTTAAACATTTCATTTCTTTGATTAAGCAATATTTTCTGGATAGCTTTTAATTCACATGTCACATTATGCAGAATACAAAACAAAACTTTTACATCTTTCTGAAATTTTATCAACCCTAACAACTTTTTTAATTACCTTTTAAACTTGCTGTTGCACATAAGTTAATTGATAAAATATGCGAGAAGAAGTTCAATTTATTTCTGAAAATCTTTCGAATTGAAAACCATCCAGAAAATTATTTTTCCCTAGGAAACCATAACGAAAGAATTTAAGCTTGAGAATTTAAATTATTTTTATAAAATTTTGAACTTCTTGGCGCCTCATTTTTAAGGAAATTTTCATCCTTAAAACCCGCAATATTTTGATAATCTGAATCTCAATATTTGAGAAGAATGGTGAAAGATAAAATTGTTGTAGTCACAATTGTGTTGGAGGAACGGCGTGGCCGCTTTGTAGTGCTTGACGGTGATGGTGACGACGTCGCCGGCGTTGCGCAAAATGTTGACGGCCTGGTCGTGCGTCCGGCCGTACATTTCCTGCTCGTTGACTGAAAAAGGAAATATTGAGATATCGGAGGGGTCGAGAGAGAAAAAAAGGCACACCGACCTCTAACGATGGCGTCGCCGACGAACAGGTTTCCGGTCTGGTCGGCCGCCTGCTCTCGGAAGATGCGCGAGATCAGAATCGGCAACTTGTGCTCGGAGCCGCCCTTGATGCTCAAACCCAAACCGCCCGTCCGCTGCCTCTGAACTTCCACCGTTCTTTCCTGCAAAAGTTTTTATTTTTATATCAAAAATTTGACAAAATTTAAAATACAAGTTATCAAAATATTCACCTTGCTTGACAACAAATATTTCAGAAGTTTTAGTTTTTGTTTAAAAAAAAAAAACTCCTTTTTGTTCTTTAAAAAGAATTATTTTAAAAATAATTAATTTGATAAATCAACAATAAGAGCAATTCTTTTATAAGCATTTTGAAAAAATAAAAATAAAACTTAATTATCTCAGCTTGCAGTATTCGTACAATAAAAATTCAAGTACGACTCTTTTCTTTTCATTTTCTACAATTTGAAATTAATCTCAAGGTCATAGTCCAAAGGTCAAGGTCATTTATTTCAAAATTAACATTTCAAGTATGTGACCCTCTTTAAAAGCAAAATTTAACATCACCATTAGATTCCTCGTAAAATTAAAAAATAAATTGTCAAATTCACGTTGTGGCTATTTCTAGTTAAATTTAAAATAAAATTAAAAGCTTAAAAAAAGTGGATTTCTCCCCTGCAGGGATCTTAAAAAATTGTCAATAACATGATTTGAGTTGGTTTTAGATTTATTTTTTGGTTCTGTCTTGACAAAACCAATCGAATAATGTTTATATTATTGACCTGTGGTAAACTTGGGTCATAGGTCACCGTGACCCCTGACCTGAAGTGGCCTGAGCCTTAAGTGTGATACATAGTTTGAAAGATCTCGTGTAGAGGATAATTTTTGTCATCAAGATTGTGGATCCAGGTTAAATAGAACCTAAAATTATGTGATTATTTGGGTTTTATAATGCATAGAATTTGATAAATTTGTGGAAATACCGGAAATATTTTAAATGAGAAAAAGAAACCAAAATGCTTAAAATAGCAAATTCAGTAAAAAATTATAATAACAAAAAATCAATGTTATCAAGTCACGAATTATACCAAAAATTTAATGAAGGTTTGAGTTTAAAAAAAAATTACCCTGGCGTCAGGGGGCGGAAGTCTGTTGGGGTCGTCGATGGGCTGGCTGGAGGCGGAAAGGGCGCCGGGCGAGGGTGGGGCCGCGGGGCTGAGGTGGTCCGAGGGGCGGCGCGGGTGCCCCGGGGGCGACGGCTCGACGTCGTCCGACTGGCTCTGCAGCCGCAACACCTCCAGCGACAGGTGCAGCCGCATCGCCCGCGGACGGCTCTTCCCGTCGCTCACGGCCACCATGCCGCTCCGAACCTGCAACAAAATCAGCACAAATAATTTCACAAAACAAGATTTTCAGTTGAAATTATTTATTAATACAAACTGCGAATAAAGCAGATTTTAAGAATAATTTTAGTGGCAAATCTCCTATTTTGTATTAAAAATGTTTATAAAACTGTAAAAATTTAAACGAAATAAGTGAAAACAACACTAAATTTATGTTTTTTTTTTTTTATAAGCTCCTCTGATTTGTTTCTGCGCATTATTTTAGAGCAAAAAATCATACCCGTGGATATGCAGCTCAGATATAATGATTTAAACTTTTTTAAAAGATGTGACTCGGGAGTGACTGATATGGACGCAAAGGCACGCATAATTGAGGGCCGAACGCTGCGTGGCGATAGCGACAGCCATCCACGGCTGCAGCAGCCGCACGCGAGAACTAAGTTCGGACGCGAGGCCTTTTCATACCGCGTCGTTAAACCGTGGAATGACCTGCCACCCGCATTGAAGGACTGTACCGCGGCACAGTTTCCATCTCTGTGCAAGGCGTACTTGTGGCAAAATTATTAAATAGTTTAGAAATGCCCCCCCCCCCTGATGGCTCTAGCGGCCGGTACGCTCTCTTTTGAAGGAGAGGGTGCTGAGCTTTAGCAAGTTGTTTGCTAGCGAAAAGCCATTTCTCCATTCTTTCCCACATTCTTTTTTTATGTGTATGTAATCACTATTCTAATGTATTTCCAGCATTGTACATAAATTTCCGACTCCTGATTTCGGCATTTATTTGTATGCTTGTACTTTTTTATGTCGATGCATGATTCCGCTTTTTTTTGTACAGTGTACTTTTTTGCGTTGTATGTACTATGAATGGAGAATAAATAAATAAATAATAAATAACTAAATAAATTAAAAAGAAAACTAAAAAAAAAAAACGTTTAAATTTGATTTTTTTTTAGTCAAATCATAATAATTTAAAAATTTTGCCACATCCAATCAGTAGAAATGCTTCAAAAAGCTAGAAAAAAATCAAATATTCCGGGTAAAAAGCGATTTGAACTGGTGAAGTGGTTTTTCCCTTTAATGCACACACGGCGCCAGAGCGAAAAAGTGACAATGAAGGGCGTGAATTTTTGATGAGGCCTCTGCACGTTCCCATCAAAACGTGTCACACACACACTTTTAAAGGCCGAGCGAGCGAGAATCGATTTCGGGCAAAAATCTCGGCTGATAAATCATTTGAACCTTCGCATTCCTGAAATCTGCGCCTCTCCCCAGCTGAGATATTAGTTTTTTTTATATCAGTCTTTTGTTTTTGGGTTGTGTGCGGGGAGCGAAACAGGGTGGCACGCGAAGCCGTTCTTTCACTTTAATATCAGCAGCGCACATTGCGCCCAAATTGCCTTTCTTCCCTCCTCGCCCACGATTCTTTTTTCAAATTGGATCATTGTTCCGAAGCGACGCTGCATAATCGCAAAATACAACACAAATAACCACAAATTCCGAAACCTATTCAAAACAAAATTTGGTCTCTCGTTTTAGGATAAAAATTTCGGAATGAAAAGAAGATTATCTTTTTTTAGAAAAATATTGATCTCAAGTCCTTGTTAAAGTAGATGGAATCTCCTACCAAAAGATTCTAAATCTGCATAATATTATTGAAATATGATGAAAAAAGTCTCATTCATTCTAATTTTTAACTCATCAAAATTGACCATTTTTAGCCATCCGAGCGCTTTTTATAAATTAACTAGTATTTTTCTCGTAAAAAATTCAAAATCTAAGATTCAATGTAAAATAAAATGGCAAATCTCGGATTTTTTGTCAGGTTGACTATTTTATATTTTGACCTTCGGCCAGGGTCAGCCAGGGTCAATAAACTTTGACCTAGAAACTTGGTGACCATTAAGAAAAGATTCCTTGGTTCATTAGCTCGAACTTGCCACCAAGAAAATTGAAAAAAATCTTTACATAAATTAATTTGGCAGCAGTTTTAGTAAACCCTTATTTATCTCCGGCGGCCATATTGGAATTTGACAAATACCAAAAATATTATTTACGTCAGTTTTGAAAAAAAAAAATTATAAACTATCATGATATTTGCAGAAAAGAATTAATTTAAAATGTCCAAAATTACCTTTAAATTGTAAAAAAAACCTTCGATTAAAAATTTTCTCAAAAACTTCCGCGCTGGTTCCAATTTTCTGGCTATCAAAATGATCTTTTCGTCCTAAACTGTTATTTTGTATGTGGATGATTTTGCTACCCTCAGGTGGCTCAATCCTCTTTAAAAATAATTTATTAAAAAGCTTGTTTGTATATAAATATTTAGAAAGTCGCCAAAACACAATTAGATTATCTGGAAGCATTTGTATTTCTATTTGCATAGATTTCTTTTCACGTAAAGCTTTTGCAGTCAGTTAAGAATTTAGTTTGAACGTGTCTGAGCGAATTAATTGTGAATTGATAAAGTTGCGCATTGCGTTCGACATTCTCTCCTTTAATTCCCTGACGCGCATGTATCGGGATTTTGATTTAGACTTACGCGTCCCCGAGGACACTTTGGAAGCGGCACACGAGTCCCTTTACCTTTTCGCGCTCCAATTTGCAATTAGATTAAACGCGCGGCAGTCAACTTGCTTTTATCTCGTTCGATTCGTTTGCAGGAAAATCCTGATTTTTCAATTAATTTCGGTGAAAAAGGTTAAGACTTTTTTTCATCTCGGAGCAGCAAGTGGAAGGTTTTTCTTGCGTTGAATTTTTTTATCAGAGAGCGAGTTGGCAATTAGGAGGAAAAGTGGGTGTCGCTTTTCCAGGGGCCGAGATAGGCAGCCGGCGCTGCACAATCGTCCAGCAAATTGCCTAAATTACGCGCTCACGTCGTTCTCCTTTATTTATTTCCATTCCACGCTCGCTCCGTTTTATTCGCAGAGGCCAAATTGACAAAACTTCTGCGCGAAAATCGATGAAGAGAGAAAATAAAAGCAAATTTAAAAAAAATGGTCTGTAAAAAAAAGAGGTTTTCCACTTTGCAGCAGTAAAAAGAGCTCTCACGTCAAAGGAATTAAAATTAGCACGACGAGCGCTGTTTTTGTTTTCATTGAATTTTTCGGCTTGTTTATTTGTCTTTTCAATTATTCAGCGTTTCGGCGCGTGCCTCGAATCTCGATTCGCCAACTCGGATTATTTTCCACCGCCCTGAGATCTTTTTTTCTTGCACTTGCGTCAATTGTTCCGAGGCATATATCGATCTCAGTGAAATTTTTGACCGAGATATATTTATAATTAGACGTGCCTCACTTGCCTATTTATATAAATAATGCAACGGTTCAGGTGGGCGTGGCTTTTCGCGCCCCGACGCAATAAATTGACTGCAAGTGTACGTGCGTGTATATAAAATTCATGAAATTTGCCGGTCCGAGTGAGAGAGAGAGAGAGAGAGAAAGGAGGGCGTGCAACCGCTTTGTGAATTCCGCTCCAAGACTCGGTCCGTCTATTCATTTGCTGAGCCAAGAGTGAACGTGATTCTGCCTTTTGCAAATTCAATTTCAACTCGAAGCTTCTGCGGAAGAGAAATTCTCCAACCCATTCCTCAACAAGAACGTTTTTAAAGCCCGGAAGTTTCTCAATTTAAAAGAACTCTGGAAAAAATCAATAATAAAGCTTTTAAAATACAGAAATTAATTCAAAGAAACACCATTTCAGAGGGAAATAATTTAGAGCTTTTGATATCTTTCAATTTAATTTTTCTCTTTCGCTATCATTTTTAACTTTTCCATAAATTATTTAAATTTCACAGAACTAAATTTTCTTAATTTAAAACAATTTTACCTCTGAATCAGATCAATCTGAATCAGATGAAATTGCACTATAAATTTAACTATATCATTTATGTGCACTCAAATGTTTGAAAATTTTGCTCAGAGATTAAAATGTTGAAAGAAAGAAATTGAATGAACCCTATTGCAATTGTTGCTGCGCCACTCTTAAGGACGTGGAGAATAAAGAGAACGTGCGAGAGCAATAAAAGCAGCGTCTGGCCAGTCGCGCTAATCAAGCAATTAAAATTCTCCCTCTGCCCCGTATTGTGACGAATTAAAGCTGCTCCCTGGCAATTAATTGATTCAGGCGAGAAATTAAAACAGCGAGGTTGATTTTTCATTAGCCGGGGGCGGGGCCAATTAATTAGATCTCGTCTCTGCAACGAGACGCCCGCGGCCGCAGCTCTGCAGACGCGATCTAATTTACGGCTGCCCTCCTCCTTAATTAGCCACTTTCAAAAGTGAAAATCTCCCCTCGCGTGCTGCAGTCGAAAGTAAGTTGGCAGGTGTGCATTTGAATTTGTCTTTTTCTCCCTGCTCTGGTAACAAGATTTTGTTCGAGTAAAAAAAGTAATTGCGTGAGCGAGGCGGGGCGACGAGCCGGCTTAAACTTTTGGCAAAAACTTTCTTTTATCTCTTTTGCGAGCTCAATTCTTTCGGCGCGACCCTCTCGTCGCAGGGTTGAAATTTATCAAACTGCCGTTTCATCTTAAATTTGTATTTCAAGGGTGTGGAAATTTTTTAATCGCTTCACTAAATTTCAAATGTGCAAAAATTTCAGTAAAATGCTAATTAAATGTGCATCAGAATCAACAGCAATCGTTAATTCGCCTAAAATTGTCTCCACTTCGTAAGAAATAAAATAAATGAAATCTAATGATCATTTCTTTCAAGCAATTTAAGCAAACTAACACCGGCGGCGCCACTATCGGAAAGACGGCAGCGCCGCCGGTGGCAAATTCCATAAATTATTTGAATGATAATTTGATTTCATTCATTCATTTCTATAATTGATCAGAAAATTTAATTCAACTGGAAAACGATTATACAGTTGAATGTGTTGAAAAATTAGGCGATTTTTTTATCTGAACTTCTTTGAAAAATAACAAAATCGCAGGAGTCAATTTGCGATGTAGAAACAGGTGCGCAAATTCCCAGACGCGCTTCCGTTGGAAGAAAAATGACGCAGCTTCTTACTTTCCAAGTGACATTCTT